CGGCGTCTTCTAACTTCTCCGATTTCGACAACGCCTTCCAAAAGTTCCGGATTTTTTTTAATGATTCAAAACCTAATTTAATATTTCATCCGGTACCAATTTAAATTCAATTAGTAAACACCATCAGATTTCAGTAAAAATGTTGCTCCGGCGAAAAAACAAAACCACGTTGGGTGGAGTAATATCTCGCTGAACCACAGCATCAAAAAGTTTTAACGAATGGATTATTTTTAACAATTAAAACTTTATCTTGTTAAGTGCGTTATTTTGATATTCACACGCTCCCTTACTGCCAAAATGATTTAATTATTGTTGGAACTTGTGTTAAATTTAACAGATTTTTTAAAATACATTCTAATGATTGGTAAAAGATAGCTGACACGGGTAAATAATGTTATTAGACGTTAATAAACAATTTTTCTAAATAAATATGCAAATTGAAAAACTGATAAAATGTACATACATAACTAAATATATGGTTATTAACAGACAGAGAATAGTAGACATAAATATAAAATATAAAAAATCAAACGAATAGATAATGGTAAAAAGCGAGAAAAATAGAGACAGGAAGAGAAAACGAAAGAGTGATAATATTGATACTAAAGTACTCTTGCGGTATTGCATTCTTTTTTTAAATAAACAATTTATGGAAGATGTTCATTTCACGCGGAGAAAATATATAATAAAAACTTTATCATCTATTTTACAAAGATATTTGTTTATTTTGAGAAAAATTATAGAAACTAAAGTTTTTCTGCCCGTGGCTCGACTGGATGAGGTTTTTTTTAGTTCCTGTAATAACAAAATTGTACAATCGATATGATTATTATTTATTTGACATCCAACCCCCTTTAAGTCTGTTTGTACAACGTTAACCCGCCCCATCCTCGAGGTTTCTGTTAGAAGGGAAAAGAGGGCAAACAAAAAGCGTCCTTCCATTTTTCAAGAGGCCCGTTCCTATCAAGGGAGAGAGCTCAGCCGCTGGAATAAGCTTGAGGGAAATGACATTGCCAAGTTATCCCTCGGAATAAAAGGCCGAGAGATAATGGGTTTTCTTTCTGTCAAACCGAACATGTCCAATTCAAAGTGCTGCCGACGAACAATGAGCCCGACGGACCGTAACACGTACTCCACCGACTTGCCGCTCATCGGGAAATGTTATCTCCTTGTCGCCCCTGATAAAGTAATATCTCTACAAAATATCTTACTAATTCAGCAGTGGACTAAGTACCCTATTTTCTTCCATTACAACAAAACCACAACAATCAAGAAAATTGTACAAATTTGTCTTTCAAAAATTACGTTTTGGGTCCAAAATTTAGAAGAACAATAATACTTATAAGTCCATTAGATTTCGTGGTCGGATTGACCAAATAACATCTTTCAATTAATTAATCTTTATGTAAGGTATTAGTTGAGGTAAAAAGTCAGTGTCTTTAAATTTATAAAAATTTATAAAAAAAAGGAGGGAAATTTCAAAAGATGGGGATGAAATGGGAAGGTAGGATCCGAGTGGATTGATGTCAAGGATAGCTCAAGTGGTAGAGCAGCTTATTTAACCGAAGGTTGTGGGTTTGAATCCTGAATACTGACTTTTTTATCTCAACCAAAGCCTTAATTAATTGAAAATCATTTATTGGTCAATCTTGACCACGAAACCTAATAGATGTATTAATAAATATATTAAATGGAATTTTTGCGATCTTTTCCAATTCTTTCTGTCAGATTGATAATTTATATACAGTGAAAGATGAAAAATTCCACCCAATTGATGTTTTTCCATGTTCTCGAAAAAAGAAAATTCCGCCCTTAGTTTGTCTCGTTGTTTTTATCAATAAATATTTGTTTTTGGTGTTTCAAATTGGGAATATTAATTAGAGGTAACACACTTAATCCTTAAAATCACAATAATAAAGAAAATTGTACAAATTTGTTTTTTAAAAATTAATTTTTGGGTGCTAAATTAAAGAAAACTTAGATAACAATAATACTTATAAGTTCATTAGATTTCGTGGTCCGATTGACAAAATAATATCATTCAATTAATTAATCTTTATGTAAGGTACTGGTTGAGATAAAAAAATCAGTGTCTTTAAATTTATAAAAATTTACAAAAATAGGAGGGAAATTTCGAAAGGTGGGGATGAAATGGGAAGTTAGTGTCCGAGTGGAACGAAGCCAACGATAGCTCAAGTGGTAGAGCAGCAGCGTATTTAGCCGGAGGTCGTGAGTTCGAATCCTGAATACTGACTTTTTTATCTCAACCAAAGCCCTAATTAATTGAAAATCATTTATTTGGTCAATCGGACCAAAACCTAATAGATGTATTAATAAGTATATTAAACGGAATTTTTGTGATCTGTTCCAAATTTTTCTACAATCTTGACAATTTATATACACTGAAAAATTCCACCCAATTGATGTTTTTCCATTTTCTCGATAAAAGAAAATTCCTTAATTTGTCTCGTTGTTTTTATCAACAAATATTTGTTTTTGGTGTTTTAAATTGGGAATATTAATTAGAGGTAACACACTTAATCCTTAAAATAACAATATTAGAGAAAATTGTACAAATTTGTTTTTTAAAAATTAATTTTTGGGTACTAAATTAAAGAAAACGTAGAAAACAATAATACTTATAAGTTCATTAGATTTCGTGTTCCGAAATTTCCCTCCTTTTTCATTTATCTCCGAAAATCAAATATATTACATGACATTTGAAGAATGGCATAAAGGAGGGAAAATTTAAAAGGTGGGGTTGAGATGGAAAGTTAGTGTCCGAGGGGATCGAGGTGATAGCTCAAGTGGTAGAGCAGTGGCGTATTGAGCCGAAGGTTGTGGGTTCGAATTCCGCTCGTGACACTGACTTTTTTTTCTCAACCAATACCTTATATAAAGATTAATACTTATAAGGTTTACAATCAACGAAGACAGAAAGATATAGAGTAATTTTAATTATTAATTATGTTTTATTATTTAGGTTTTTGGAAAGTGAATGATGGAACAAAATATAAGAAGTTAGTGATTCTGTTGATTATGCTTATCAGACATTTTAGGATTGCACAAGTTATATTGATAACTCCCTTATTTTTAGTAAAATTAAACAAAAATTGGTTAAAATGAAGAGATGGATCACGAGAGCTATTCTGATCTCGGCGAGAAATAGGGATAAAATTTACATGTAAGCAAGAAAGAACACTTCATTATCAGTTAAATTTAAAAAATAAAGAGATCTTTTGACTAAAGTGATAAAAAACGCTTAATATAACCATTTTCAAAAAATGGTTGCCGATTCTGAACAAGATCCTAAAACGTTTTGGGAGTTGATTAGATCAGCAACTAATGACAAACCTACGAAAGTAATTTTAAGCAAATTATTTTCTGATTCTGATTGCAGATAACTTTATAATCGCAAGTGAATTTAATAAATTTATTCATGTGTTCGTAAGAATATTAAACAGGAAATGCAAAATAGTGCATTTGAAATCTGAGGGTTTCACTATTATTGGTATTTCTTTCAATAAATAAAAGTTTTTATATAAGGTTTTGGTTCAAATGAAAACGTTAGTGTCACGAGCGGGATTCGAACCCACGACCTTCGGCTCAATACGCCCCTACTCTACCATTTGAGCTATCGTGGCTTCGATTCACTCGGTCACTAATTTCCCATCTCAACCCTACCTTTTGAATTTTCCTTCCTTTTTGCCATTTTTCAAATGTCGTGTAATCTATTTGATTCTCGGCGACAAATGAAACTGCGACGGAGAGCTTTAGTGAAGCTTAAACTTTTTTTATTTTTATTTCATTTAAACTTATTAAATTCACTAGTTTCGTGGTCCGCTTGAACAATTAATATCTTTAAATTAATTAAGGTTTTTAGTTGAGATAAAAAAGTCAGTGTCACGAGCGGGATTCGAACCCAAGACTCGGCTCAATACGCCGCTACTCTACCGCTTGAGCTATCGCGACTTCGATTCACTCGAACACCTGTCCAGTCTGATACGAGCTTTGCTTTTTGATAGAATCATGGATGTATCAAAATATTATTTTTTGTTGTAAAAATATATAATGTACATTATTGCAAATAAATATTTAATAATATTAAAGTTCATAAAGTTAAACTGCGTTCTGTAATAAATGATTGCTTACTAAAAAAACATAGTTAAATAAGACGTTCGTTGTTAACGTTCCAGCTTGTTTTACTTGTAATACACATAATTTACAAGTAAACTACACAAGGGGATTTACAAGTTTACACCAAGTTATGTTTATAGTTCAAAAGAGACGCTTAGTGAGGCGCTTTCGCTACTTAAATGTGCGATTATTAAATTAACTCATGGCACGATTATGAAGATTTACTAACAGGTATTTTCCTGTTGGTTGTGACTATTTGTTAAGAAATAATAATAATAACAAACTGCGTTTTTTTTTATTGTTATCCATGGGTATAAAAATTTACAGTGTCTTTTTTAAATGGCCGGCTGAATTTCTTTTGATCCAATAACGCTATCAAAAAACGAATTATACGTGTTTATTTCATTTTAGTCTAGTTTCAAATTTTACCTTTTGGTGGAGGTAAATGGAGAAAAATTATACAGTATAGCCTAGGCCCAGTTCAATTTAGAAATTTGAAATACGACCTTATACATCCTGTTATATCATATTAATGGATTTATTACGCTAAAAACAATGGCCCAATTGGATTTTAAATTGGGCACAAAATGAAAATGTTATGACAAAAAGATTGAAAAAAAACCTGTCATTTGGTTTGTAGGCAATACTCATATTAAAAGAGGTGAGCAAAGAGGCCCTAGGAAAGCACTTAGGCTCTTAGGAAAAATTTCTCTTTCCAAGCTATGGTTAAAATTTATAGGTGTTTAAAATAAACCTATATGTCGCAGCGGAGAAGGAATTTTTAAATCCTTATTCAACCTTCGAAAAAATTCAAAAATACGATTTTATTGGTTTTATTACTATTACAATATGGCATTACTCACCTATTTTGATGACTGGCGGAAGGGCCTGGGACGTGGCTAAGAATATGAGCCAGACCAGAGTCACAAGACTCATGGTGACTTCATGATCACCTTCCCCTACCTCCTCTGCAATAAAAAAATTGAAATTTAGAATATATATATAATAGCATTAAATATAGAGTATACAACTAAAATGAATGTTCAAAAATACCTAATAAAATAATTAAACGTTATTTTTACACTCATGATAACTGACCTTGAGAAAATATGTACATTTGTTTAAAGGTCATAAGAAGGACCAAAATTTCTCTAAGTAATTAAAGTTTTTAGTTGACATAAAAAGTCAGTGTCACAAGCAGGATTCGAACCCACGATCTTCGGCTAAATACGCCGCTGCCTGAAAAATGGCAAAAAGTAGGGAAAGTTCAAAAGGTGGGGTTGAGATGGGAAGCCAAAGATCGTGGGTTCGAATCCGCTCGTGACACTGACTTTTTATCTCAACTAAAAACCTTAATTAATTTATATTGAATGTTGTATTTTTTTATTTTAAAACACAAAAGAAACGATGATTTTTATAGTTATTATTTATGATATTTTCCTTTATTGGTGATTTTTTTATGGAGGGGTTGTATTCGGACAAGTCAATGTTCACTGAACAGCAGATCGTTGAGCTAAGAAAGTTTTTAATTAGATATAAAACTCCTAATAAAGTAATAAATATACATGAAAATGACATTTTAAAGGCGAAACGTTATGACAAAAAATGCCTTTTCCAGGAAAAAATCCTTTTAGAAAACGTCGAAAAGGAAAACACCAGAAAGAAAACTGAGGGCTGTACCGTAAAATAACAGGAATGGAAAAAATATATTTTTGTCAAAAGATAAATTTGTTTTAAAGTTAAAATATTTGCTTTAAATTAGTGCAAAAAAGAATTTTTATTGCATACCCATGGCAAAATTTGTATTTTGTCGATTTGTAACATTAAATAAATACTATTTTATATTAATTTATTTTTGTTTCAATTTGGAAAGAAATTTGTTTGAAAATTAAAAAAATTTGATTAAATAAGTGATTTTTTCTGTTTTCGTAAATCAATTTTTGAACTAACTAATTCAGGTTTTTAGTTGAGATAAAAGTCAGTTTCACGAGCGGGATTCGAACCCACGACCTTCGGCTAGATACGCCGCTGCTCTACCACTTGAGCTACCTTGATTTCGATCCTCTCGGACATCTATTCTCCATCTAAATTTTAAGATAAAAAAGTTTTAAAAAACACATTATTCCATCGTGTATGTGATGCAGTATAAACAAATCGCTGATTTCTCCTACCCTCTTTCTGTAAAAATTGAAGAGTGCCGGGAGAAAAACAGTAGTTTTAAAGACGATGACGATTGTTGTTAATTGTTGAGAGAAGACGGTAAAGGCAAAAAAAATCTTTTTAGCCCCCAGAGCGTTGAGCCGGCCAGTTCTTAGATTAATGTTTTCACCACTGGAAAAGAACAAACGGGGGAGTTAATCAAAACTTTCCGCCTCCTCAGATTTTATTGACTCCGTCAATAACACGATTTATGTTATCCCGAGAACTTTTTTCGTCTTTTTATTCGCGTGGAGTTCAGCGTTGGAAAATGGTTAATTTCTTTTCTTTTTTCCCCGATGGCGATACGTCTTGAAAGGATGTCCGACATGGAACAATGGGTCTTTTCAAGCCCTGGAAACCAATCCGGCCGATTAGCAAGCTACGGCTAATTACAGTTTTCCGTAATTATAAAAACGTATTAAATTAGATTTGCACTTCAACATTTATATAATAAATCATAAAAGGAATTTATTTTATAAATGTATTATGCAAGATTTGAAAGCGCCAATTTGAAAAATGCATAAAAACACCTTCATAATTGTTTTTTGAAAAATTTATTTAAAAAATCTGGGGATATTTCTTGTGAGTATTTCAAATAAATTATAATGTAAAACACGGTCAAACACAAAAACTTTATTTCTCTGACAAAATAGTGCATACCTTCAATGTTTGAGTGTAGGTTGCATTTTCAATTTTAAAATTAAAAGTTTTACACATGAGAATTTATTGCTAAAATGCACAATTTCTCATCTGTCCCTAGTTCTTATTGTACATTTATCGCAATATTTTGTAATAAATCAACGTCTGTTTTTCAATTTCTATCTCTATTTTCTAATTTTTTTATCATATGCACTCAGTCTCTCTCTCTCTCTCTCTTTCTCTCCTTCTCCCTCTTTCTTTTTCACCCACTCACTATCTAATCAGCAATCGCTCTTTTCTTAGTTATCTATATAGCTTTTAATATATCATTCTGTTTATTCGTCAGGCATAATGTCTATCTTTTGTCTATTTTCATATTTCTTTCTCTCCCTTAACCACTTGCTCATTCTGTTTCTCTCTCTCACTCTCACTCTCTCTCTCTCTCTCTCTATCTATCTATCTATCTATCTCTCTATCTATCTATCTATTTCACTATATTTCTTTCTCATTCACTATCTATCTTATATTTTATAATTAATTTTCATAATTATCTGTATATGTTTTACTATTCCGACCTGTTTATCTGTTAGGCGTTTTTCTATGTTTGTCTTTTTTCAAATTTGTAGCTCTTCACTACTTACCCTTTTTTTCTGAGTTACTTCACTGTATCACTCACTGTCTACATCTACACTCTCTCTCTCTACATCTCTTTTGCTCCCTGTCTCTCTCTTTCACCCTTTCGATCTGCTCTCATGATCTCTTTTTCTCACTGTAAAAATTTACCCTTCTTCTATTTAGTTTTATTAATTTTTGGTTAATATTTCTTTAATTTCTCTCTCTCTGTTTCTCTCTCTCTCTCTCTCTCTCTCTCTCTCTCTCTCTTTCTCTTTCCCTTTCCCTTTCCATTTCAATAATCCCTTTACTCTCCACTTCATTCTATTATTTTCACTCCCCCTCTTTCATTCTAATCCTGCCATTTATTTATTCATTTTGTTTTCACCCTATTTTTTCTCTCTCGCTCTTTCCCACCCCCTCTCTCACTCTCTTTTTCCCTTTCACTAATCCACTAATTTTTCTTTCTCCCTCTTTGTTTCTCTCTCTCTTTATTTATTTCTCTCTCTCTCTCTCTCTCACTCTCTCTCTCTCTCTCTCTCTCTCTCTCTCTCTCTCTCTCTCTCTCTTACGGACTATATAAACTATAATTACATACTATAAAATACATTGTAAATTGTCAAATTAATAATTATAAACAATGTCAGAGACATTAGCAGAAATAAAATTTTTCCCGTCCAAGAAATCTAGGTAGGACTTATCAATGGTTAATTGATTAAAGACTAAATCATCATGAAAATAAACGGTCCATAAATAAAAGAGACCATCTCATTTTTGCATGAAAAAATTGCCCATTTTCTCAACCTTTTAAGTCACAGAGCTGCGGTAGATCTCGGTTTTTTAGAAACTTTTATGCTGATCGAGAAAGCGTTTAAATGTTTTCCTAGCTTTAGTATCGGTAAATGTAAAAATTCGCCAACATGTTATATTTTGCAAATTTTACGGCTGACAGAAGATAGGAAATCTCTGAAAAAATTATCTTGTTCAGGGTAAAATTTTCCAAAAAAAATGAGATCTAGCGCAGGTATATGCATTTCCAAAATTGGCCAATTTTCCTGCAAAATGAGGTCGTCGGTATTTTGACGGGCAGTATATTCCACGAAAACAATCAAACAAATCATTAAAAAAGGACATTTATATACATGCTGTGCCGTTATACCTAATTTGTGAAACAAAGCCGTTTTAACTTACCCACATATTAGTTAATCAAATAATTAAATTTTAAAGGGTTATATTATTACTCAACAACTTCGAGCAGTAACTACGTGATTCCCTTTTAACTTAACTCATCGTTGGTTATTATTTTATTATAGAATGTTAAATAGTGATTAAAAAATTTTGCATTCATAGATATAAGTAATAATATTTAAGAACAAAAATTACAAATGAAAATTTGTTAGAGAGAACTTATACTTAAATCATCCCCCTCTGACCCCAACAAAAGCTTTTCTTCACGAAGGAAGGTGGCAAAAAGTTCGTGAATGACGCCACCCTCAATTGAACAATTCGATCAAATAACTAAAATTATTAAGTCATCAATAAAACCTTTGCACGAAAATATCTTTGCCCTTAGCAAAAAATGTAGTTCATAAAATAGACATTTATAGGAAAAAGAAAGCTTCTGTTTAAAATGATTTAAGTAATAAGATCAATGAAATAAGAATTATTTACTGGTGGACAAAAATATAATAAAGAACAATAAAATCATTAACATGAAACGTAGTTATATTCTAATTAAAATACAATAGGCATGGTGCAGATTCAGTATTTTATTATAAATGTAACATCTCTTACAAACAGATGTCCCAAAAAAAATAAAATTAATTAAAATTAAATTAATAATATAAACTAAAATAGATAAAAATAATAATAAATTAATTAATAAGAATTTTAAAAGGTTGGTACCAATGTAAATAAAAGAAAAATAAACATAGAAGAGCTCGAGGGGCCAGAGATCGGACAGTCTCTCACCTGAACCCGAGCAGGATCAACCTAATTAAAAACACAAGGTATTTAAGATCATTTCTTTTAATTCCGGATATCCTTTGAGCTATCGCCAGTTAAATTTATTAGTTCATTTCAATTTGTTTTATTTTACAAAAAAAAAGTTGTATTTTGTTTTGAGTTTATTAAAGATCAATAAAAATAATTTATTTTATTTTACAAAAAAAGTGTATTTGTTTTGAGTTCATTAAAGAAGATCAGTAAAAATATAATTTATTTTATTTTACAAAAAGGTGTATTTTGTTTTGAGTTTGTTAAAGAAAATCAATAAAAATATTATTTTGTTTCTGGAAAGAATTTTATATTTTACATTTCCACGGAGATGTGACATACAAATATAAGATAGAAAAAAGAAAGAGATAAAGAAAAAGAGAGAGGGACAGAGAGAACGTAAGAAAGAGAGAAAGAAAGAGAAAAACATAAAGAGAAAGAAAAAGAAGGAAGAGAGATATAAAGAGAGAGAGAGAGAGAGAGAGAGAGAGAGAGAGAGAGAGAGAGAGACAGAGAGACAGAG